TACATTTCTTTTATGTTAAAACTGACTAAGTAGGCTTCAAGTTTTGCCTGCAATTTCTCAATAATATGAAATTCTAAAGAGTCCCTTAAATGTGTTTCTTGTACTACTGCCGGAAGCATGAATTTATCCAAATACTTCCCTATTCTCTCTTAAACAGTACCAGATAATGAAACAATAGGCCTCCCTTGAATTCTGACATTTTTAAACAGCGTAGGATTCTGTTGAACCCTTTGTATTAGTTCAGGGTCCAGTTTGTGCAATTCAGACAGAAGATACAACCTTCCTGGTTTAAGATTTCTCTTAGAAGAAAGATATTTAAATGTGATAGGATCATCCATGACCCCTTTTCTATACATTTCAAAGATGATATTATTGAATTCTGGTTGGTCTCTATTATATTTAATTTTTCAATTTCTATGAAGTGAGTAGCACTACTAAGTTGCCTAAGTCCTTCATTTATTTATTCTGTTTTATCCCATATCAGAGGAAGGGGGGGGGGGGGTATCTGCACGGAAGAACGCGAAAGAAAATTGCCATTTCACGATGAACGAACAATTAAAAATTTCTTGCACGTTGATCTTTTTACCGATTTCACGAAACACATTTTTCACGGCTGCACGTGAAATAAAAATGGCAAAACACGTTGCACCCTTTACCACCCTCATATCACTGTGGTGTTATTTTTATCTGCTTTTTCGAATAAGTATTTTTTTGTTTTGTTTCAGGGAAGAAATTGCCTTCTTTCCAGCGTAGTGAGATTATCATGGGCTTTTTGTATTGTTAAGCTATCTATCTCAATCTTAGTTTTGAATATGTTCCGGACCATATGAGTATTTGGACCATACGCGTATGGTCATGACCATCTGCGTATATACTCATATGGTCCGGGTAATTGACACGATGAACGTTGAAAAGGTGTCACATAAATAAAGAGTTTCTAAAAATGAAATTCTGACTTATTCAATCATATGGTAGTCATTTTACATGATTAATTTAATAGAATGAATATTACTTACAAGTAAGAATTATAGTTAAATAATTTTAACATGGTCATTATCGATTTGTCCATACGAAACGCAATATGTCGACTTTGGAAAATTACTTCAAGAAATATCTAAATGAACTGTTGAACAATAAGTAAATTGCTTAACTCACAGACACTTTGGTCATTGAACCCTCTTTCTTTTCTTTTTAAAATTTCTTTTGGTGTTTAAATTTGTTTTTATTAAATTATAATTTCTTAAAAATTTTGTATTGTTTTTAGTAAATGTGTTCATGTGTTCTTGCTCCTATTCATACGATCTTATAATGACAGTAAGATCGTATGAATAGGAGCAGGAACACATCAATTTAATGAAAATAAGTAGAAATAAGAAGAAATTTTGTTTCTGAAATTATAATTTAAACACTAAGAAAACAGTAAAAAAATCCATGCCCCAAACGCATGTGGTTTCAATATCGGAAGTATAAAGGCGATTTGAATTGACTCTTAGCGAATGCAAGATAACAGATATACCAAGATTTAGACAATATGTAAAAGATAAAAGAATTCAGATAGTACCTTGTGCGTTTTTTTGTTCAGAGAATGAGCTGTGTGTTCCTGCCAAGAACGATAGAATTATTCGAAAAATATCTATATGGTCTAAATACTCGTATGGTCTGGCCCGTTAATAACCAAACGAGTATAATACTCATATAGTCCGACCATACGCGTATGGTCGGACCATATGAGTATACGCATATGGTCATGACCATACGCGTATGCTCCAAATACTCATATGGTCCGGAACAAATATATATTTCTCAACTGCATCGTTTGAAAGATGGTTCGTATCCACATGGTTATCACAATCTTAACTGCATACTCACTTAGACAATTAATATTCAAAAACTTTGGAACATTTCAGGGAAATCCATGGACAAAGGACAAAACCGAGACAACAAGCAGACAGCATATATATAGGACAAACGGGGTATACAATGCACTAAAAGTACATACAACACATGAACACAAACCTGATCAAAACTGGAGTGAACTCAGGTGCTTTGAAAGGATGAACAGTTCCTGCTTTTTGCAAAACACTCGCTGTTTTGTTTTGAAAATTCCTCAAATTCATTTAGGACAATCAAATACCTTTACAGTGTTCGATTTTTCAATATGGTTGTTAAGTGTTATTGAAGTTTTTACACCTCTGGTATCTGTTATTCAGTTAAATTTGGTGTTAACTGTTATCAGCATTTTATATTTGTTGTTAACTGTTTTTTTCCAAATTCGAGGTGTTGTTAACATGTTAACGGACCCCCTATTGCCCCCTCTTTATACGACGTATCATGCAAAATAAGTCATCTGACGTTAATTTGACTTGCAAATTCAAAAACATTCAACATTTTTAACATTAAGGAATTTATTATTTAATACACGGGATGAGGTTTACAGATTAGAGAATAATGGGCAACAAATATAGAATTAAGTACGAAAAAAATAAAGAATTGGGGAAAATATGCAAAAAATATAAAGAATACACTGTGAATTTGAGATAAAGAACAGCAATCAAAGTGCTGTTCCTTTGCTTTTTGTGTGTTTTTTGCATGCACTGGGTTTGTGTCGTGGATGGATATCCCATATCCTTTGTTTTCTAACGAAGAATGAAAAAAGAAATAATGAAGAATAAAAAAATACCATAAAAATGAAAGAATACAGAAAATGAAAGACCCTCCCATCCAGACCCTTTAAGAGTGATGCAGATTACTGGCGAAACCTTCAAGTAACTGTCAAGATGAAGAGCAGTAATAAAGATATTTTTGTGTGATATATATATCTTTATTCCGTTTTATAAGTGAGGACTTTACCTTCCTCATGCATAGCTCTGATTCATGTTATGGCATTACTTTAGTGCATACATTAGGAATGGTGCTGGGGTACTACAACGTATGTATTATTATATTTGATGAGTTGATGTAGTCCTGGGGTACTACATCGTATGTATCTTTGAACCTGAACCAAGTTTGGCTATATCTGGGTCATGTAGTGTTCATTGTTTTTTGTCTTTGTTTGTACCTGAACCAAGTTTGGCCATATCTGGGTCCTGTGTTGTTCGTTGATATTTGTTTTTGTTTGTACGTCTGGTTTTTATGTGTTGTGTGGTATGTTGTGCTATCCAATATTTTTCGGTAATTTCTGTTCTCCTTTATTACTATTTTTTTTTCTTGCTTTATCCAACCCAAACAGAATGAAGACATTAGTTTAGATATCAAGTCGAAGAAAACTGACAACTCCATTACAAAGAGTAATTTATTAAAACACACCACATATGTTTCATAAATAAGGTTACAGTGATTGAAGATTTAAATTTATGCCATTGAATGCCTTTTTCTTTAAAAAATACTTCAAACAAAAAATACAGGGGTGATCATTTCAATCTTGAATCTTACACAAAGTCTTACAGGATTACATGGACAGTTGATAAAGAAAATTGGATGGGTATCTCAACGAAATGATATGATTTTCTGGTGATAATTACAGTTTTTTTCACATTATCTCTTTTTGGTGATCAAATTGAGTGGTTAGTCCTACAATTTATTCTGTAAATGTTTGTGTTGTGGTATATCCTAAAGTTGTGTCAACTAATGAAAACTTGAAAATACTAAACTTTTCGTCATTTAAGATATCATATATTAACTGAAATAATTAAATTTTGTATTAGTCTATTGACTGTTTCTATAGGCAACTATGTTTACATTTGCCTTGTCTTTGTCAAGTTTGCTCAAATTTGACTACCGATCGAAAAGTAAATAACGTGTCAAAAAGCAATTTGACGTTGCTAATATTTGATTTTCATGAAAGCAGAATGAGCAATTCGTTTTTTCTCTGCAGACAATGCACATCGTATGTTTATCTTCGTTAATTCATACACTTTTATGGAAAAATGCAATACTCTGCATGTCAGAAACTCCAATGTTTAATGCATTTTACCTGAACAATTGGACGACAAAGGAAGCTCATTCCAAAATATGTTTATTGGTTGTCTTTCGTTCATGTCTGTCATATTTGTTTTTCGTAAATTATTTTGTCATAAATTAGGCCGTTAGTTATCTCAATTGAAGTGTTTCATATTTTTCATACTGGGGCCTTTTATAGCCGACTATACGGTATGGGGTTTTTGTCATAGTTAAAGGCCATACGGGTGCCTATAATTATTTACATCCACTTCATTTGAACTTTGGTGGATAGTTGTCTCATTGGCAATCTTGCCACATCTCCTTATTTTTATATTCATATGAAGGTTCACGCATCTCAGGTATAGAAAAGACCAACGTTTGAGCAGAATATAAAGAAATTTGTATTATTCAACATCGAAATAATGTTTTATTTCGATACAATAAAATCTTCTATAAAAACTGTTTTGCGAGAGACCATAATGTTTCAGTGCATGTATAAAGTCTCTACTAACATATATATTAATTTATGTTGCCATTTGTATGGATCACTGAAATTATATATCATACAGATGTGACAACAAAATTGAATATTGTGTAAGACTTAACAAAATCTATGAAAAATTCTATTTTTCTAACAAATAATTTTTTGATTTTCAATTAGGCAAAATAATAAATCATATTACCTGTATTATATTTTAGTATAATATCTTTTCAGAATATGAAACATATGTTAAAATAATCATATTAGATCAGAAGTTCAGTTAAACTAATTATTTTTGTTCATGATGATTAATGGAATCTAAGTACGATTGAATACAACAGAAACAAATCACAAGTGACTGAAATAAAAAAAAATTAAAAAAAAATGAACTAATGTACAATCTTATCAGGTTTTTTTCTCGAATATTCAACCAACTCTGTGAAAAAAATGAGTTCCAGAAATTTAATTTTGCGCTACTGAGCTGTCACCGGAAAAAGCGAAAGTAAACCTCTCGAGAATATTTCACGGTTTACAGAAGTATTATTTAATATACATTAAATTATATAAAAAATATACTTACATCGGTACAAAATGTTGTCAAAAGAGTGAACCACGCAGCTCTAAGGATGAACAAAACCCAGTAAGAAGGCACCTTTTGACGTTTGTCAAATCCAAATTATTTCAATGCTCATATGAACTTTTGTTAATCATTAATTCTGAAAGCAAGTCTCAGTATATCAGACACAATTTAGGCACTATATGTACTTGTGTCCGCATCAATTAGATCACATGAAAGCTTGTAAAGTTCCTATATACGATTCAGTAATCATTTAGTATCCTTTTATAGAGTTTATTTCACCCTATTTTAACGAATTGTTGTTTTTCCTTCTTTTTCTTAAGATGGTTTGCAGTGGGAATAATTATAATGTAACTCTAAATACGTTATCAAAGATGCGTAGTTGTTCCTATATCGATCTGACAACTATATTCAACATCTGTTGATGCAGTCTAAACTATATAAATCACACCGTTGGTTAGTCAGTTATTATCAATACAGAGCTTAAGTGGTGTTATTGTTTTCATCTCAATGACCACAGATAAGACTTGGACTTTGTAAAGGTCTTTCCTAGCAAAAATATATCTCAGACAGAGATTTGTTTGTTCTTAATCTGTGCAATTCTTAATCTGTGCAATCTCAAAGATGTCTACCAAATAATCTTAGTTTTTTGTACTTTATTCCTTGCTTAGCTTTTCCGAAATCTGCAGGATTGTAGTTTAAATCAGGATATCGTAGGGAAAAGAGGGACATCTTTAATTCTTCGCCACCTTAGGGGGGTAATCAACACCTACATTAATAACGTTGTGTGATATTCGAATGTTGTAAAATACTGGTAAAATACAGTATCTTATATGTTTTAATGTATAATAAGTCTATAACATAAAGTATACACTTTAAAACATGTTAAAAGTTCGGAAACGTTCAGAATACAATTATTACACAACTAATTTGAAAGTGTGTACTTTTGAAATATTTATTATTATTATTATTATTATATAAACATTATAAAAGGTGGTAAATTGTTAATACCTGTGTCACATATGACCACGGATATGTTCCAAATTTTGTAACCATAATTCAGTCTACTTTTTTCTTGGCTGTGACATCACTGAAAGAGACTTATCGTCGAATTTGTACTTGCCATGATCAACATGACGTGTGCCACTAGTGGAGCAGGATCTGTTTACCCTTTATTGCCGTAATATTACCTTTCATTGCTTATACCCACATATTGTAATTCTGGCGGATATTTGTCTCATTGACAATCTCCTTATTTTTATATATATTGACATAAAGGCCTTTATTTGGTTCGGAATATATGTACTTTTTACCGAAAGAGTCTTATTGTAGAAGTTTGAACCTTCTGGATCCATATTCAAATAATTTATACATGTTCTGTGTGAAAAGTGCAGCTAACTCACTTTATAAAGTATAAAGTAATTACTCCATTGCTAATACATCTGTAGTTCAAGAACGTTTTAGAAATTAACTGTTTACTGAAAGAGCTATTAGTGTTCAAGAAATATTTGATTATATTTGATAATTATCATGTATGCATTTACATTTTAAAACGTGTTTAAGAGAAAATAACCTAAAATGGCACAAAGATTATAGATATTACAGTAAAAAGATAGCACCAAAGAATGATCGTAGTTACTGTAATAATTTACATAACAAAATTAATTACATCTGTTACTAGTACTTATCAAAAGAAGTTCGTTAGCCTGAGATTACTGTGTTATAGTAATCTCAGAATTAGCAAAATAGAGAGGTGGTTGCCGTAAAGATCTCCTTTCATTTTGATCAACTAACAGTATACTTTCTCCCATACAAGTTATTTTCATAAAATCTACCTAAAATACCATTTGATGTATGAAGAAATGCAAATCATGTCTTCCTGTACTGTTTACACATTGATGTGTGGCATCTTGTATGAGGTACATCGACCGATAGTAAGAGTATGACGGCATGATTTCTTATCAGTAGGTTAGGTTAAGTACTCTGAACTCGCTTTCAATAACATCAAGCATTCTTTGGTATGGTATTTGTTATTTATTTGTTATTTTTTGTTATCTATTATATCGTTATTTCAGAGTCAAGTGCTTTTCCTGTACTATTTTTTATTGTTATGTTTTATGTACGTTTTATTTACCCACTGATCGAGATTTAAAAAGGGTAGGGTTAAGATTTAAAACAACTAGTTTAACCCTAACTTAATTTCATGTGCCTGTACTTAGTCAAGAACCTCGTCAGTAGTACGTCATATCTTAATGTGTTTCGATATTTGGAGAATTTAGTGTTATTGGAAGATCTTTGATGTTTCTATTAAACTCATTAACAACTATTATAGTTTCTTGACTACAGTGCTCAACACATTCTATCTATATATAGACACATCTAAATTGTAGTCGTTTGGTTGCAGTCTTAGTTTCGTATCCATAATATGCAGACAGTTATGTGGCACCTTTCTTCTTTACAGATCGATCTATCGTATATCTAAATGTTGTCTTTTTAAACAATATGACGGCAAATATTACTTCACTGGATTAACAAATGTTTATTAGAACTATTATATCTTATATTTAGATTCAGATTCTGTGATCTGCATGCTGAAACACTGAACCTATAAATATCCATGGTAAAGATGCTATCATAACTAATTTTACTTAGAACGGAACCATGAAATATCAATTGACATAAATGGTCTTAAAAAGTAAAACCAGTCCATACTGTTATATTGTTTATACGGGGTTTTTTTTTCTGGACAGAATCAATTGTTATTGGCATGAGTCTAACTTGCCATTAATTCCGTCTCCTCTCCAGAATTTGGCTGCCAAGTTATATCCCTTGTGGCGACATCTGGAAATTTTTAAATCTATTACGATCTATAACAATTCCCCTCAGATTGGTATGTTAGAGATAAAATGAGGTTCACTTACAACATCTAGAAGTAGAATAAGTAGAAATGTCAGTAACAACAAAGATATGTCATGTGTTGGTTCCATCGACGTCGACAAACCTTCAAATATAATCTGTAGAAGCTACTAACGAGATTGTTACTGAAGAACTGTTTAATTAGATATTGCTACATTTAAATTTTGACTAAGAGGTTTGGTGCAATTACATGGTTTGTTATAGCGAGAAATTTCTAATCTCACACACACTGTTTTTGAAATCAGGAGATTCCATACAATTTAAAAACAACTTTATCAGTTGTAGAAATAAAACCATCAAGATTACACGAGAACTCATCCTTTAACAAAGACCTTTTTCGTGGAAATATCGGACTGCAATTTTTTGTCTTTTAGTTTGTCTGAATTTTTGGTTTTACTTAAAAACTTGTTGATAGTAAATATGAAATCATGTTTGCTACAGTCTAATATCAGTTGTAAGATCGGAGAAGATTTCATAAAGTAACGCCATAAACGGTATAGGAAGTCACGATCTTATGCAATGATAAAAGATAATAGAATCATTGAATATAGTTATAATAATCGAATAAACATTAATTCCAAAAAGTACTAGATGCAAAAATCAAAACCGGTATCAATAACTTTATTAAGCATTAATGAACGATTTGAACAACAGTTCCTACATTTGATTGCTTTTAAAATGATATTACTGTACACACTTGAGCGTGAAACACTATATTTACTACATTATAAATATAAAAATAAGAAGATGTGGTATGATTGCCAATAAGACAACTATCCATCAGAGACCAAATGACGTAGATGGAAACAAACATTGTCTGTCCCCAACATATAATCGAATGTCTACCTCCAGTTACATCTGATGTCAGTGGATATAACCACCTCAGAAATAATGATAACTATGTACACCTTAGATGTAGACTACGAATAACTAAAAACTCTTTCATTCCATCTACTGCCAGAATATGGATTAATTTAAATCAAACTTCAACAAACATACGGACGAACTCATAATTTTAATGGAAAATAAAGGGTGACCCATTCAAGCCTCCAACACATAATGGCGAAGGGTCCAGAAAATTTAACATATTGCATACAAAGCTAAGGCACCAATGCATCGCCCTAGATGCTGACCTAGACGAAATACATAAAGTAAACGATTCTAAACGTTATCCATTAATTTCTATAATGCCGATAACATTAAAACCAACGAAGATCTCTGGTAAATGATCATATATATGAACATACAAATTAATATTGAATTTCTATTGTTTGGAAAAGGTAGATGAATATAATTACGAAATTATATCTTAAATGTTTGCGTTGTTTCATTAAACCCTCAAAGAGATTTTTGAACATTCCGAGTTAGCAGTTTTGTCAGTTTTGTCTTGTTTGTTTGGTTTTTCTTTACCTTGTCATTCTTTCTTTTCTTGTTCCAACGTGTGACTCATTTGCTATGATTTCCTCAACTAATGTCTTATAATTTTCTATGTTTTGCTGTCATCATACATATGTATTGTATATGTAAAGGGGGTTGACTTAATATCAATTTCCTAATCAGTTGTGTCCAATCCTATTGCTTGATTATTGCAATAACATGTTATTAAATTAAATAAACATTAGTGATTATTTCAAATGATTTTATTTTTTGAAAAAGAATTTCGACACCACGCATGTATATTATTTTATAGAGCTATATACTATTTCAAATCTTTTATATACACATATGGTGCACAGATTATGTCAATATATAGATTGATTTGAAACATTATATGAATATGCACGGAATTCAAGATTAAAAAGCATCCATCGCAACAATGTTTTCGAAATCATTAAGACTTTTTTAAACATTCATTTGTCTGCGTTTCACATTCTAACATTGTGAAGCCAGCCGCGTTGTCAATGTTATAGCAGCCAATTTTATGATGTATCTAACTAACTATAGAAAAATTATAAGACATCTTAAAATCCTAGATAAACTATAATAGCACGTGCTCTGACAGAATTCAACATTTACACGTGTTGTCGAGACCCACTTTAGCTGACATTCAGATTTATTTGACAATGATGCCAGCAGCTCCTTTTTCTATCAACGACTTTTTCCTAGTCAATATTTATTCAAATGCAGATAAAACATCCTATTTATGTTCCACCACTTTTTCTGCTTTTGTTCATTGTTAGTGCTGTATATCACATTTGTTTTTCGTTTATTGTTTTGTACATAAATCAGGCCTTTAGTTTCATTTTCGTTTGAATTGTTTTACATTTGTATAGTTTGCTATGCGGTATGGGTTTTGCTCATTGTTGAATGCCGTACGATGACCCATTACTGCTGACTTGTACGTCATTTGGTCTCTGGCGGAGTGTTGTCCCATTGGCCATCATACCAAATAATCATATTTTTATATTGTAGGTTTGCAGCGGATATGGATTCAATGTTGAAATGAAGATCAAAAAGATTATTCAAGCTAGGTTGATGAGC